AGGTAAGGTGCACAAAGGTTACATCATAATATCAAATGTACAATGAAAATATATACGGTTCAATACATATATAAACATATACACACATACTACACTTACACATCATAAATACGCATAGATACATATAGGTACATATATATACAAGTATATTTATATAGATACATAGACATATCTTATTCGTACACTATGAAAACCTGAATATGAGGTATACTTAACTATGGATTAGACCGTTCTGCCATTTCTTTAAGAAGGAGAGCATGTACCTTCTTTTTGAATATAAAGCGGTTTGTGGACATCCTGATTTCGAGCGGATATTGATGTTATTATCAATATTATTATCGTGGAAGCACTAAAAACTATTATACTGCCTCTAGAAAGAGATCAAAGAGCGATTCTAAAAGTAGCCACATCCTTTCCTATATCCCACAACTATATTATATAAATCGTGCAAGGTGATGACTGTCCGTCAAATTTTTATATATACTAAATATAGTACTAGTATATAGTACTAAAACAACATACATTGCTTACCTATCACAATGATATTTCTAACAAAAGACGGAAAGATATAGTCTGTGCCTCACAATCAGGAGATATCCGAGATTTCCGCAAAAAAGAAATTGGTAAATATAGTATATAATATATTTGTACAAATTTAATATACTCGAAGATTTTAATACAAAAAAAAACCTAACTTTGTTCGTTCGTCGTAAATTGCAACATAAATGGTGTCACATAAAATCTAATATACTGAATAATAATGTCACTGTTTTATGACTTCTTTGATGTTTGATGTTTTTTGGTGTGGAATATTTTGTATTACGTCAACAACGAAAAGGTTAAAGGTACGTCGGTAATATTGAAAAATTTCCACCCTATGTGCATGTGTAAGTATAAGCAGGCACGTGCGCACAATACAGATGGACGGACGAACGGATAAAGAATATCTTACAAAACTATTCCCAACATATCTATTTGATTCATTGTTGAGTCATATAAAAGGGTTTGCGCTTTGATATGATTTTATAATGGATGAACAGCTTAGCTAGCTTACTAATTAAAACTATATGTCAATCATGAGGTTTTAATTAATTACATTCATTAATTTCATAAACCACCTATGAAATAAAATGTATTCAGTTAATTGAAAATTCCGTCAACAAGCAATAATTCAAAAAAATTAAAAACTTGACTGCAAAAACAGAAATTTAAAAGAAATGCACTTAAAAGACCGAATCAGCACGTGGTGGCCCTTTACGCTATTAAAAACTTTATACAAAACAAAATTATTGTTCCTTATTACATTTGAATATGTATATAACTTTTAAATATTTTTGTAATCCCCTTCCATTTTTTTTTGATTTTGATACACTACTCGATAGGTGTGGCAAGTTTTTTTTTGTAACCCGTTACTATTTTACGCCAAAAAGCCGCCATTTTGTTTTCTTTCTTTCCAAAAGCCATCTAAGGACACTCATTTTCAGACGGATAAAACAATACTTTAACTGTCGAAGTCCATCCACCATTCAGCCATTTGGAAGATATAATCCGTGCGCGATAAGTTGAGACTGCGTGGAATGCGATTCCCCGCCCGCTACCCCTGTCACTTCTCTTCGAGCGCCGACGTTGTACTGTAGGCAACGCCATTTTTTTTGTAATATATTGGTCTCGTACTGGCCTACGTCTCGAAACGACGTCGCATTCCTATTGTTATCAGATTTTCTGTTACATTTTGTTGTTAATCTGGTTATCGTTTTGTTATTAGACTGTCTATTACATTTTGTTGTTAATATGGTTATCGTTTTGTTATTAGACTGTCTGTTACATTTTGTTGTTAATCTTTGTATCGGATTGTTATTAGATTGTCTGTTCCATTTTGTTGTTAATCTTGTCAGAAATAGATACACATATACATTTTATAATTAGTTACAATTCTAAATTAAATACATTGAATTTTATTACTATTTTTCAGTAGCCGTTGTCGTAGCGTAGTAGTATAATTCACTTTACAATATTGTTTTTTTAGGCTCAGTATAATAATAAAAGGTTAATTTAAAATGACGTTGTCTTGAGTACAAAACTTTATTGTTATTTTTTACATAAAAATTGCATAGACGAAGTCGCGTGCGGAAGCTTGTAGTGCTACTTTTTGTGCACTCTGTACAAAGGCTTGTTTGTGACGTCACTGCGTTCAGTTCTCAAGTAATAAAGAAATTTAGAAACAAACTTAGGTACAAGATACTCGCGAAAATCATAATCCTTCCTTGGCAGTCATGTAAAAAGCATATCTAAATCTCATAACTTTCGGAACTCGCAACGCAGATCTCCTGTGAAAATTAATTAGTTAACTAACAATATTTTATAGTAATCGCGTCGACTTTATGTCTTTTTTTTTAGGTAGTGAATAGAATAACTGGGCCATGGCATAGGAACAAAATCACAGGAATTATCTCAGCTTACACAACAAAACCTTTTGTTCTATAATCTGAGAGAATTTTGAACTATATTTTAGGTTTAGAATATTTATTTTCATTAAGAATTATGATACAATTCGCTTAACATAAAACCATAATGAATACTAATACACAATAATATTTTACTTGAGAGCACACATAAAAGCGGTAGCAAAAATAATAATGTTTTTAAATGCTGCCTACACCAACTTCGAGCGTAGACGGACATCACACTACAAAGATGTAAGATTTTAGTGAACTTCACTAGAAGCGACATTTTAATTTTTGTAATCAATAATTGAATGAAGATAATTATTTTTAAATGTGTTTTACTTTATTTTATATTTATTTAACCAAATCGTTTGTTGGTCTGATTCATATTAGGATTTAACCTTAATTAATTATAGTTTTTGATTACATGATCCTTAAGCATTTTTTGAAAGAAGAGACGGATCGCGATTCCTTACTATTTTTAGGAAGCCTGTTATATAGTTAGTGCGGGGTGGTCTCAAAACTAAATTATTAGCACTTCTCAGTTGAATCTTTTGAACGTCTCTTGTGTATGGATATCCCCGCCCAATACTTTACGTACCAATAAACAGGTATAGTATACCTAGGCCTGTGTTAAATTTAGTATTTTTGTGTTTGTATATACCTTTTCAGTAGGCGTTAGATAATCAAAGTAAAAAAGGACCTAATAGTCTTGACTGTTAGGTTTATCTGATCGTCCTTTTTAGGGACATAAAATAAGCGTCAACAGTGTGAGGTAGAAAAATAACATCAAATAATTGTGACAACCAAACAAAGCAAATATTTATGTGAAGACGTATTAGTTCCACTATAAGGTGATACCTCATTGTGAACGAATATTTCAATAACTGTCTTATATTTGATGGGTCTATCAATACCTGTTACAAATACATTATATTATTCTCAGTATAATATACCATTATTATTGGTATTACTGTCACGTGACACATGAGAATACTACCGTGCACAATGTTTGACTACACATTTTGTTTCCATTTATAGATATAAAGCTTATTTTTTATAATAACGAAAGTTTTCGTATATCTACTTAAATATACTTTTTTAAATAACATTTTACATATTTTTTATATCATCACATCACATTACATCAACAGCCTATAATAGTTCACTGCTGGACATAGGTCTCTCCTTACAAATGAGGTTTTGGCCTACTATACCACGCTGGCCAGACGGGTTGGTATAGTGTTTGTTTCAAGTTTTCCTTCTCTTTGCAGTGCTGTTGTCCTGCGTAGTTGGCTCCCTTAGTAGGCTTACGACACCCACGGGATGAATAGGGGTGGTCACATTCCGTATTCTTAATCCGTCACCACACGTTTTTTATATATTCATTTAATAATACTTACCTACTTTGTGTAGTTAAAAACTCATTGTTTACTTATTGTATGTCTTACTTTATTGAAAGTAGATTTTATGTACAAGTGTGTAAGTGTAAGTTTATAGATCGTATATTATTCTTATTATATTATTATATCTTAAAGTTAAATTAATTTATTCAAAGTAAATTCTAAGTAGAAGTAAAACTAGTTAATTTATTTTAAGTTTATTTATTCTGCAGCTGTATATTTCTGATGATTTCAATTGAATTGCAGTCAAAATCTATAAATCTGTAATGATTTAAAGAACAAGAGTATTAATTTTCTTCTTTTTCATCGTCAACTTCTGGATATTCGGGTATTTCTGTTTCATTGTTATCATCTTCGTAGTCCTGAATTGTTGATGTCAGACCTTCCAGAATTTCAGGGACAAATAAACTCTCTTCCTCACAGTCACTTTGCAATGAAACATCATTGCTAAAGCGCGTCTGTTTTTACTGTTACAACATTGAGTATTAAGTAATTCATCGGGAGCGGGTAGTAATATTGTTCTTATATGCTTCAAGAATTCAGGTTGGAATACCTAACCCCATTCCTGGGGTTATAAATCGTACCCTAACTATTAAAATAAATTAAGTAGTCATTCCAAATTAAGTTTCTGGTTTTACTTGGGTGCAAATGTTTACTTTCACGAACTGCTCTTCTGAAATTTGTCACTTATATGTTACCTATAATTAACCGCTGCGCAGGAAGAAAGGTTATGTTTTCGAGTGTATGTATTACCAAGTATGTATATTTCTTTTATTTACGGTTTGATTAATTTCGGCTAAGGAGCTGTCGTAAAATTCGTCTTGATTGTAAGAATGGCACAGTACTTATATAAAAATTACATATGCTAAAAGTCGCCTGTTTGTAAATTTTAATTACCGGGTTCAAGCAGTCAAGTTTTTGTTTTTTTTTGTAATAATTAGCTTGTTCAAAAATAAATTTGAAAATTTAATTTTGGAAAATTGGTATACCAAAATAGTAAACTTTAAGCAAAAACACAACTTTATTCTTAATCTCGTAGCATAGAACAGCAATAGAAAAACACACCGCATAACCTACTTTAGATTTTATAGGCCTTCAAAGTCGTAGAAAAAAAGAGAAATGTGTTAAAAAATAATGTTTAACTTACTTGCAGTTAAAATCAATTGCAGTTATTATGCAAAATATTATAAGTAATCCACAATACAAGAAACTGGTGGACTTGTACTTGGACAATAACAGCATATCGGCAGTCAAGGAGCTGGAGGGCACTGAGTGGTTTACAACCTTCCGCGTGTTGAGTTTACGAGGAAACTTACTTAAACAGGTACCGTACCAAAAACTTTTCCATTCACCTTGATTCCACTCTTTAAATTTAGTTAATTCAATAATTAGGTGTTATGAGTTTAAAACATATTTTTGTTACATTAACTAAAGTTATCTTTTCAGATTCAAATTTTTGCCTTCGATAAAGCCTTTCAAGCAAACAACAATTTAATGCATGTGTTCCTGGGAGACAATCCGTGGCGGTGTGACTGCCTTTACATACCTCGATTCCAAAATTTCTTACTAAAATATAAAAGAGTCCTTCGTGACCAAAATGACATACGTTGTTCAAAAACAAACGATAGGAAGACTTCGCTTGTACAGGTCAGTCTTAATTCATCAACATTTATATTATTATAATAGAGATCGCCTAGTGGTCTAATTTAAACCGTAATTTATTAACTTTAGATATCTCATTGATATTATAAAGGAGAAAGTTTATAAGCGTGTGTGTTTGTATGTTTGTTACTTCTTCACACTTAACCAGATGGATAAATTTTTGATAAAATTTAGATTGGAAATAGTTAACACCATGGATTATCACATGGGTTACTTTTGATTATGAAAAATGTAGTGTTCCCATGGCAGGAGCAAGGAATTGAAATATGTTTGCTACTCTTTTAAACCACAGCTTTTTTAAATAAAATTAACCATTGCAGGTTTAACTATCATTGTATAGATATTGTGTACCATAATGGGTTTGCATTAATGCTGTACCCCTGTAACCCTCCTATACGTACCCGTTTTTGCATATTATTTAACTTAATAACCAGAGGCGTAGCGTGGTCTAATATAGACGTGGGCGAAGTCACATCAGCAAGGCCATTTTTCTTTCGTTCCCAAGACAGGTGCCCAATACATCTATTTCGCCTACCAATTAATGATAGTGAAAAAAAAAGGCAGAAAATTAGAAAGCTTATAGGTTTGAAAAAGGTTTTATTTACTTACCAATGTATTTTCTTCGGCTTTTTGTTTACTGAAGTCCTCAGGTAAAGGCTTGTAATTATTTTTTGTAGTTAAATCTGCTTTGATGGCAAGTTTTGCTGAAGCAGGCAGTCGGACCTGCGTAATACTGTCTCTTAAGTAGTTTTTATTAATTTTTAACTTAGAAATACTTTTTTCTGCGGAAGCTTACAGGTACTTACCTACAGATACATCAGATACGTCTCTAGATAGAGAACTAGTCTTCCTCTAGAAGTGAATGTTGTCTGTTACGCGAAGAAGGACCCGGAGCTGGCCTAGGTAGGGGTAGTTTGTGTCGTCTAAACGATCAACGTGCTGGGATCTGGGCCTACGATTAACGCGCCATAAGACGGAATCCCTGTGGTTCCATAGGAAACGCGGAGGCGCAGCTATTACCCGCTCCCTTAATAGCGTGGGGTAAAAGGTGCTTGAGGTTTAACGACATACCAAGTATCTCGGCCTCACCCTGGACTGTCGTAGGAACTTCGAGGCGTATTTTGAGAAGATGATACCCCGAGTTCCCGTGGTGGCGGACTCCTTACAGACGCTGCTGTCTAATCTAGGAGATCTGAGCCGATATGGGCCAAGGGCTTATCGGGCTCATCCCGCTGCCGAACTCAGCATAATCAAGCACAGTGGATCGTACGAGGATACCGTACCATCTTGTCGGAGGCTGTCACAATCCTGGTACGTTAGGTGCCCTTGGATATCCTGACGGATGTCAATCCGCCGGGGTCAGAGTAAGAAGGTTCAGGACGGGTTCGAAATGCAGCGAAGCACTCACCCGCAGTCACTGATGCAAAGGCGGAATGTGCGCCAACGCGCTGTTTGTGGGGTTCCGCCTAACCTCGAAGAGTAGGTAAGTAGGGAGGCAGATCGCGTCACCTACCAATTGACGCAGGTACTACTCGGGCATGGTTGCTTCGTTGAGTACCTGAATTCGATCTGACGTGAGTAGACAGTACAATGTCAGCACTGCGCAGCCGAATGGGACTCCGACCAGCATTTTCAAGAGAAATGCCTCGCGTGGGTGTCTAAACGGGAGGTCCTGGTAGATCGAACCGGACGACATTTGAGTTACATTTAGGTAGATATTTATATGTACATGTATTCGACAGTACCTAATCAGATGAGAAATATTGAATTTGTAGTATGCAGGAGCAGGTTACTTCAAATTCAAAATCATCGCTTACCAGCTAAATTTCATCTAAAAGTGGGAGGGGTTTTGCACTTTCATATGCAACTGCAGCTTCCGGCATCAGTTTGACAACTAAGGTGGCATCTATCCACCAGAGTGTACACTAAGGGTCCACCTATTTTCTGAAGCATGGCGTACAATCCTAGCAACATTAAAGGTTTTTTATGGTACACAGGTTTTTGATAAGCAATAGTTGATAAGCACTAACAAAGTTATTACAAGTAAAATTTTATAAACGCGTGGTTGTATACGTGGCACATTGACGTGTTATGTCAGCTCTGTCAGAAAGGAAAGATTGACACATTGAAAAATGATGCCGTTATCAAACCTTACTTGATTTTTAGTTTCTTTGTGTATGTTGTTTTTAACTTTTGTTTTATTTTTGTATGCTGTGCTTTATAAAATAAATAATATTCTATTCTATTTGCCACCGTCGGCAATCGTCAAAACACAGTCGGGCCACAACACACAATCCGCCTCTGCTCATAGCTATTTCGTCAATCTTACAGGCGCTCCCTTTAAATGTAGTTACAATGGCCCCGCAGTCGCACTTAAGTTGGAGCTTCTTGGTAGGCATCGTCGCATCGCAGATGCTGGTCATAGCCTCCCGGAACCACTCTGCCTCGACACCCACGTCGACAGGACTTTCCGGCGCAGGGGTCCAAGCCTGAACGATTGCGCCCAACGTGGTTCAGGTGGAGTCGACCTAACCGGCGCCACATTCGTGAGGGCGGAGATGTCAAACCGAATGTATCGATGATCCGAACCCGTTTCCTCCCCTACAACGACGCTCCAGTCCTGAACACGACGTGGTAGCGAGGGGAACGCGAACGAGATGTCAACGATCGAACTGCCCCTCGCCGTCACAAACGTGGCCACGTCCCCTCGAGGTTATTTAATACACTGACGAAACACTTACTAGTACTTAGTACGAAATAGGGTTAGTACTAAAGGTGGCACGTTAAACAATGGAAGTAACATAGACTTCTTCTTTAAAAAACAATTGTTCCGATTTATTAGCCTAAATTTGGGTTACTCAGTCGTTCAATCATAATCTTAAAAAAAAGGAATACCAAATACTTTTTCTTGAAGATGCTTTGTTCATCTCAATATAATAATAATTAGTTTCTGTGTATGTTCATAATGGCAGATTTAATCAAGTATAATTAAGACGACAAACTCGGGCGGGAACAGAAACTACGGCCTTGCTAGTAAAAACTATGGTCATGCTAGAAATAAGAATTATTAACAAGGCGCCTTGAACGCTAAAGACAGCCTATTTTCAATAATTTGAACATGGGTAGTGGTTTTAGTATATTCGACTAATAATATGCGTCAAATGTTCAGCAAAGTGGTTTCATGTTATAAAATGTATGGTGTCAATTTTATACTTAATTATAACTTTTCAGATGAAATGGTTTTTGAAAAAATAAATACTATTCTATTCAAAAGATCTAAATTCATAAGTTTTCTGTATCAGTAGATCTGTTTACTGGTATTTGAGAGTATTTATATGATTGAACTAAGTACGTTTTCATTTTACCTATAAAATGAAAAGACTGTTATTCCCTACTTATTTAATCTTCTTGATGTTGGGCTTTAACGTTTTTATTAAATATATCAAAGCTTTGCGATTATTATAAAATACATTAACAGAAAATAAAAAGCCTGTTGTCAAAAATTTGATTGAGTACGGATATAAAAGTAACTTATAAATACTTATATTTTAAACGTGAACGTGACTTTGTTTGTTACGCTTTCACGCCTAAATCACTGTACCGATTTAAAAAAAAAACAACGGAAAGCTCCATTGTCAGCAAGTAACATTTTCTTTTTAAGCATTTTCTCTTTTTTACCACATATTTAATTTTTTTTTAAAAGTAGGTATTTCCTTAAGGTAGGTACCTCAAAGATTAAATAAACTAAGCTTTTTCCATAATTGTGTTTTACATATTATCTGAAGAGGAACACGTTTGAGAATCACTTTTTATAACTCCACACGACAATCGTGAAACGTGATCGTATTTGTAAAATATTCCATGATCCATAGAAAGAGTGCTCAATCGAATTTGCGGCCTCATTTTATGATATACAAAGAACAACGATCTCTATCTCCAAAATAGATTAAGTACACTCAACACTCACACAAGAAGTCAATTGTGGGGTTCCTTATCATTACTTGTTATTCACTTTTTCGTCGAAACACTTATGTCAATGGCTCTTAGTGTAAAATAAATGATTTATTACAAAATGACCTTTAAACCAATAATATTAAGTATGAGCGTTGGCGGTATATCATAAGTATTCTTGGTTTTCAGTTTGTTAAATTTCACCAATTTATTTAGACTTTACCGTGGGTAGAATCAAAGTTAAATATCTGGATGATGAATTAATTAGATTATTTAATGTAGATGATTTAGATTTGTCAATCAATTCACGTATACCTTAGGAATACTACTAGTAGTTTTCTCTGATAGCATAAGTGAATTCTTTTTGATAATTTGTTCACCGAATAAAACAAATGAGGCAGCAACTGCTGCAACTGCTAAGAAAAACCATATTTAGAATTTAAATTATCATAATAGTGCTTTCATCTTAAATTTGGTTATGATTATTATATAAATCGCTTTTACGTATGAATAAGCTGAGTACAATTTATTAACACAATCAGTTAAAATCGGTGAAATTATTGAAAATTTACTCAATTAACATAATTTTGTAGGAATTTTACCAACCGTCTTTTGGTTTCTTTATCGGTTTATGTATTTTAGCTTTGATCTTTGACATAAATGTATTTTATGCTTAATTCAGTAAATTTTAAAATTATAATTTAAATGGTTTCTGCGAAATGATAATGATATAACTGGGTATTTTATACACGAATGATTTTAAAGTTAGAGATACTAGCTACATAGCAGGCGGCATCGTACCGAAAACATTTTGATTTCGGCATCATGGTTTGGCTAATATTTACAATTGTAAATTGAGTAAAATCAAATCTGGTGAGAAGTACCTCCAAAGAGATTAATAAGTTTAGTAATTTTGACTTTGAATGTTTGTTCATTTCCATGTAATGATCCTTTGTTAGCAAGCGGCTTTTGATAAGATAAGATATTCTTAAGATTATTTTTGATGATTATATTTGATTATCACGACTATTAAATGATCTTCCGGATATAGTTTTTATAAGTACTGACTGCTTTTTTTCTGCCTCGTATTGTGTGACAATGGGTTATGTAAGTTGATACATTCTTAATTCATTTAAAATCAATAGAGCCTTGGGATGATCAGACTGACCGACTGACTGACTGACTAAGACATGTATACACACATGTATACTTTAACATTTTTCAAAACTATCAAATTCTATCATTTTATATTAGTAAAGGACATGTGGTGGCACACCAGACAATATCTGCCTCATTACTTCCCTCCTTTAAAATTTAATTCGTTAGAATCTTGCTGGTATAAGCGATAAGAAAAGTAAAAGTCATTTATTACAAATTTACGTACAAACATTTAGTAAATGGTAACATCTGCGAAAGAAATTGTAAATGTTCAATTTTGTTATTCTTGTTTCAGATCAACAAAATACCGTTGGGAAACATTTGTAGCAGCGACGATGTTGAACTACCAATAAGTTATATAAATATTATTAATTTAGTTTTACTTGCTCTAATTTTGATAATAGTAGCTAGGTTTTTATACGACAGGCACAATTTTATAAGAACTGGTAAACTGCCGTGGCTGTCTTCAATATTACCTTAAATGTTTCTGTGATCAATTTATTTATTTTAATTTAGATTGTTGACTAACACTAAACTTAGAGTTATGACTAAATGTTAATAGAATAATTAAATAATTTAATGGGAAATTAATGCTACTTTTATTTATTGCTGCCCTAAGGTTTTTGTGTGTAAATCAGGATTTAATCAGAATAATTATTAGGTAGATTGTCGTTGGTCACATTTTACTTTTCGATTGAATTATCAAGTAACTAATAAAAGTATTATCCAGAAGAGATTAAAAATAATATTATTGTGATGGACTCTCGATTTAAAGCATTTAAAGTGTATACAAAGTGAGTATGTGATTATTTTACGAGAAGGTTCTCTATAAAATTCGTCAGCTGTGTTCTTGTTAGGACTTTGGTAAAAAATAGCTATTTAATATGTTCATAGACATATTAATGTAAGAAATATAAAAAACTTTACAAAATGGCCTCTCCAAAGAGATAATTATTTTAATGTATGTACTGCAGTGTATAAGCAACAAAAGCTTGAACTTTAACGATCGTCATTTGTAAATAAATAAAGAAGACATAAAAATATGTACTTAAAAAGTACACTCAATTATAAAATGCTTCATGTCGCATAACATTTTTCCTTGTGTATAATGAGATACCAGGGCTTTCATCGTTGAAGCTTGTTAATCTCGTTTTATGTCGTGGTGAACGTTTCACGGTAAAAATAGGTATTAGATTAATATCACGCGACAAAAAATATTATTAATCAGTTTACTGCCACCAAAAAGGTCTAACGTCGTTATTAATATAAAAAAGATATCATATTTTCTGCGTCACATATCCGTTTTAAGCTAAAAGCAATCTGTTACAATATTGTCTGTCAATTTATAAATATTTCATTACGAAAATGAGGAAGACAATAAAAAGGCTTCGAAACAATTTTCCACGAAACAGAGTTACGTCTTACCACCCGTCTCTTTACGACTAACGTAAATTTTATTGTTACCTACCATATATATTTTTCACATAAAAATATTAAATTGTACCAAAATTGGTGTCTTACAATGGATAACATAGATATTTCAATTAGATTACGTGATTGCTCTATTTAAACTAGAAGTGAAGTGATAAAAAGCCGACCTCTATGTTGTGTCTACATTTTTGAGAATATGCTATATTTAAAATAATCTTTCTCAGATTAAATTACGTAAAAAAACGCTTAACCTTATAACTTTGTTACGTTACGCACGCCTTCCTGAATTACGTTGTTGAACCTGAACAAGTTATTACACAAATAGAGGAATATTCTTGTTCAGTATTATTGATAGGATGGTAAAATAGTTTTGTTAACTGAATTCTCAAACCTTATCGTCATTCCCATTCATGTTCAAAAGAAATTTACCACTTCTAAGGATCGAAAATCATAGGATGAAATACTGTGTGTCTTGACTGAGCACATCACATCAACAGCCTTTAATAGTCCATTGCTGGACATAGGCCTCTCCTTAGAAAGGAGGTTTTGGCCTACTATACCACGCTGGCCAGACGGGTTGGTATAGGGTTTGTGTCAAGTTTCACTTCTTGTTGCAGTGCTGTTGTCCTACGTGACATTCCGTATTGTTAATCCGTCACTACACGGACATGTCATGACTCTGATGCAGTGTAATAGGTAATACTTTTCTAAAAAGTTAATTATTTTGGATGGGATGTTAATAGGTCGAAGACGTCTGCGTTTCACTTTTTCAAAAAATATAAAACAAGATACCATGTATTTTATATTTTTCCATTTCAGGGAATAGAATCTTTTGTACATTCTATGAATACAAATAATTTTTAGGATACCATTGCTATTATCAAAGAGATATAAATAACAAGAATAATCTGAAATCCATATTAAAAGTATACTATTGAAACGCAAAAAGATATGAATACCACTGCTAATCAAAGGTAAACTTTAAAAGTAATTAAAAATTTATAAAATAATGAATAAATAAAAGTCAAGGATACCTACTCTCATGAACCGTGATCGAAAATTTCACCGTACCTATTTAGTTATAATATAGTTGTAAATAACTTATGGTTTATAAAAATGTACAACAAATGAAATAAATTTGTTTTTCAAATCCATGATGGCGAGTTGAATATTATAATTTAAAAAAATGTAAAACTAAACCAGTCTGTGCCAAAACAGTGTCACTTACACTACTCACAGTGATAGTTTTTAATTTCTATGCCTCCGTTTTAAGGAACTCCTATAGGGTTTTCTATAAAGAACTGTAAATAAAAACTATTTTCCTAAGTAATGCATGGAGGTATCAGGTTTTATTTAACATGAAACATAGCTTTAAAGAAATCAAGATTGAAGTCAACGCAATCAAAAGGCTTACTAAGTTTGCACATGTCGTATGTGCTCCTAAAATAAAACTTCTAAGGTACTTCAAATTGACCTAGATTCATGTAATTGAATCAGAAGAAAGCTTTTATACCACAAGTAATAGAAAAAATCGGATGTGAAAATTCTTGTTACTCCACACCGCGATCGCAAAATTATATTTTGTGCTTGCATTGATTGTAGCGATATTAATACAAGAATGTATGTATGTTATTAATATAGGATCGACATCGGAGAAGGACGAACAAATTTACATACCAAATTGTTTGGTTACAAGAATCCACGGCTCAAACTCTCAACGGCTCCAACTCAGACAAACACAAAGTTGGCCGGTATTTATTGTAACTTTTACTATAGTACTAAAAAAAAAGCCCCTTAAAACCGTTTCATACCTTATGTCTTAAGATTTAATTTCACCTACACACCTACTCGAAAGCTTGAGACAGTAGGAAACATACTGTTTAATGAGCTCTGGCGGGTATGAACATGAATGTTGTTGCGAACGGGTATGAAACTATGAAACTGTTTGAGTATTTTATTCACATAGTAGCAATATAATACACAATAAATTAGATTAACGATGACAATGATTAGAGCATTGTAGTACTCTTAATTTCCAAAGAAGTTATTCTATAAATATAGTATTTAAAGGGGCAGATCATGATTTGAACGGAACTATTTATCTATTTGAATCATGATAATATAGTTCCGTTCTGCGATGATTGATGACACTGTTTTGCGTACTGCCCTCCGTGTGTTTACGTGTAAGAAGGATGGTGGTCTCACAAAAATAAAAAAGGACAGTATAAATACGACAATATCACAACAGAGATTCTCGAATTATTAGAAGTCCTAAGTAATTTAAATAGTTCAAGAAAAATATTTTGTGTTTGGTATAATAAGGCTGGTTAATCTTCATTGTCTAAATTTCATTTCCTTTGCTACTAGTTGATTTCACAGACGTTTTGCTCTCGATATTCCATAATGTTTGAGGTCTATAGAAAAATAACTTACAGAATTGCACAAGATACTGATTTATCGACTTTGGACAGCTAAATTAAGAAATGCCGGCGTATCAGTATGTGCCCAGACAGATCTCAATCAGTTTGATTCTACGGCCAGCCTACGACATGTATGTAAAATGATTAATTTTAAAATATAATAATAATTTATTAATTTCACACATCTCACACAATAATGATAATAATAACTTAACACAACTTACACACGGCCGTATGATTTTGAAAATATGATCAAACTAGGCATAGCCTGTGCTATGGTAACCAGACTTCTGATAAACATAACTATATATTTCTAAATACATACATATTATAGATAAATTACACCCAGACACAGAGCAAATCATGGTTCTCATCATACAATTATTTGTATTGGGAAGGAATCGAACCCACGACCTCCGGCTTAGCAGTCAGGGTCACAAACTACTAGATCAACAGGCCCGTCAAAAGTTTTAACAACTGGATGACTGACAGCGACTTAATTAATGTTTATCTACAACTAGGAATTATTTATGTTCTTTACTTTTATTGCACTTACATAAGTATAATAAAATATTATCATCTTAAATTGTCCATGTATTTTATATTTATCGTATGTTAGTTCTTTCGTAAGTTAAGCGCGGGTTTAGTAGTTAAACTTCTCTTAACTTGTGTAGACTTCTGTTGTGTTTTCCCTCTAAAATAAACATTATAGTTAAATACTGACTTTAATTATCTCATTTGCTTGTGTTCTTAATTGTACTAATGTTTTCGTTATGTACGCTACTGTGATATTCTGCATTAAGATGTAAAACCCTTCTAGTATAATCGTATACTGCAAGCTCTGTAGTAGGATAGTGTCGACAATCCCACATTTCTTCTCTCCACCTGTACGAGTACAACACCGAGAGTAGGAGTTCTTACTATTATTATTATTAAGCCTTTATTGCCAACATAATTATAAATATTCATTATTAAATAGTTAAATATTTAACATGCAATTAAATATATTAACATTATAATTACCGTGGGAGAGCCATGCTTCGGCAAGAATGGGCCGCCTCGACCGGAGTGATACCACGGCCTCACAGAAAACCGGTGTTAAGCAATTCTTTCGTTGCCTTTCACTGAGTGAGTGAGGTTACCGGAGCCCAAATCCCCCCTTCCGCTGACTCGAGCGGGAGGGACTCCAAGGGCAGCAACGCACTTGTGACTTTTGAGTTGCAGGTGTCCATGGGCTTACCATCGCTTACCATCAGGTGACCCGTCTGCTCGTTTGCAGCCTTATACCATAAAAAAAAATTTACTTGTTGTTTGTTGTTAATTTATTTGTTGAATTTATCTCAATTGGTATTACATAATAGATATGCCGCAGTTATTGGACGTCGGCGTGTCCTTGTGACACAAAGGCCTCCTCCAGCTCTTTCCAATCTGCTCTTGATTGAGTTAATTTATTTTTTTCTTTTGGTATTTCTTACTTTAGTAAGTAAGGGGTTTGCTTTCCCCACGGTGACCAACCCCCTTGGGTGCATTTTTCAGATGGTGTATATGTAGTTTTGGTATTTGTGATTCTGGCTTGGTTCCGGGTACCGGTATTCATGATAGGTGTTTTGGAATCTCTGACGGTGAGGCA